AATATACGCGCGCGCGCGCGCGCGTGTGTGTGGGGGGAGAGGGTACGCGCGCACATACACACAAAATATTTAGTATATTAAAATTTTTTAAAATCCATTCCATATAATATGATAGCTATAATTGTTTTAAAAAATATATATTCTGTTTTTAGCAATCTGGTAGGTTCTACATGGTTGTTACATCATGAGGTTGAAAAATTATTACTTGAAAGTATTAATGATTATGAGGTGAATAATAATTAATAATAATTTATCGACAATTACTACAATCTTTTATAACAAAAATTTTAATTATTATAATATACATGATTTTTTAATTCTTTTAGTATAATTATCTGATTACCTCATTAGAACGATTGTGTGATCATCCATTGTCAAGGCATGCAACGGATTTCATTATAAAGCATCGTAAGATGCTTAGTACCTATAATACTGAAGTAGTAATACCATCTGTGAGTATCCATTTGTGTATAATAATGGATGGAAATAATAGTTGCAGTTAATATAAATTATATATTTATTGTTACATATAAAGTTGGAACACGACAGCACAGGAAGGCCATATATTACAGTTAAAAGTAATTAAACTAATGATTTTAACATTCATATAACTAAATCGTTAGATAAGTATCATAAAACATATATTATTGCTAATAATTTTAGATTGTCTGAGAAAGTCTGCAAGAGGTGAAGTAACAATTTGGGGTAATGGTTCTGGAAAGATTACTATTAATGGACATGACATCACATATTTTGAAGAAATAGATCATCGCGAACAGGTGAGTTATTCCTTGCTCAACTCTTTGTAAGAAATATCAGCACTAAGTTCATTAAGAAACATTTCAAGTTGTTTAAAACTATCACATAATACATAATATAATTTGACTAGAGATTTTAGTATTTATGTTAAAATAAGATAATAAGATAATACATTCTAGTAATGTAATGTGATAAAAATCTAAACAAATATAATCATCGTTCAAGAATTTTTGCAATAATATTTATGAAATATTATTAAGATGAATATTTAAAATATTCTTTAAAATATACTTTTTTGTGATATACAAGATAAAACTCCTAACTTGCATATCTCGAAAAACTTGTGAATCTTAAGTCATATGAAAAATTGTTATATACAAAAATTGCATGATTTCGAGGGAATCATTATATAGTGCATACATCTTTTTTAAATGGAGCCATTTAAAAAATTTTAAGGTTTTGTTTTTGTAAATGGAAAACCTTTATTTTTTATTACATATTTTTATAGCTGACCTCGAGAGCTCTTCAAAACATAATAAAGTATTTTTTAGCAAGTACTTTCTGAGTTATGAATTTGATATTCAATTTGACATAAAATACAAAATATCTTGTAAACTATTCATTTTTTAGCAATTATATTTTAATATATTTATACACAGAATAATGAGATTAATCAATTGATAATACATAAAGAAAATACATAATTCTTCTTCTATTCTTTATAAAACATGAGATTTGCAATATGCAACAACATATCTTTTTTGAAAAACAATTATGTATTTTCTATATATCATTTGACTCATTTCATTATTTTGTGCATAAAAATATCAAGATATAGTTGTCAAAAATGAATATGAGATATTTTACGTCAATACTTTATGTCAAATTACATATCAAATTCAAGTCTCATAACTCAGAAAATACTTGCTAAAAAAATATTTTATTATAGTGTTTTGAAGAGCTCTCGAAGTCAATTGCAAAAATATGTATTAAAAAAATGTGGG